TTGCTGTGCAGTAGAAGAACAGCATCTTTCAAAAGGAAAAACTTTCAGCATTTATTCGTTTCTTCTTCTTGACTATGAAATGCAAGGAGAAATATAAGTAGAAGTGCTAGTATGACTTTTGAAACAGCACAAAAGAGGGAAATGGTTGAACAGCATCTTTCAAAAGGAAAAACTTTCAGCATTTATTCGTTTCTTCTTCTTGACTATGAAATGCAGGGAGAAATATAAGTAGAAGTGCTAGTATGACTTTTGAAACAGCACAAAAGAGGGAAATGGTTTCCAAGTACTGGTCTGAGAACTAGTTCTAGAACACAGGAGCTTTTACTAGGTACAGCAAAATGAGGAAAGAAGTAGAACGTAGTCACTTCCTCATAAAGCATATTTTATTACTTTAAAGGACTACACTTTTTCTAAGATGATGTTTTTCCTATTTCAGAATGATAAAAGAAAGGACGATTTTATGATATGATGGAAATAGTAGGTAGAAGTTACCGGGTTTTTTTTTTTAGAAAAATAACAAAATTGGCAACCCTATTTTAGACCCTCTGAAATGTTTTTTTGAAATTTTAGTTGTCCACAAAATCTAGGAATTATTGCCTGATATATTGAATAGAGAAAGAGAGAAAAACTGTGTCATCTGGCTCTGGTATTAATTAGCTGTGTGACTTTGAGAAATCACTTAACCTCTCTGAATATGTTCTTATATTTGTAAAATGGAAACTGTTACCAGATTCTATGTATCCTATTAGTTATCCTATAACTTTATTTTATGGTATTCACCAATTATGATCATCAAAGATTATGAAGTAAAATAAGGTTATATATATTCAAGTGCTTAGAGAGTAAAGAGGGCTCTGTAAAGTCATCATTCTTATATTACCAGTAGCAGATGTGGTTAACTTTCAAAATTACTGGCAAAGATTCCACAAAATTTGTAAACTTTTCTATTAACTTGATGACCATAATTGGAAAATATCATAAAAGAAAGTTATATAGAGAGTAGAATAGAGAGAGTAGAAAGTTATATAGAGAGTAGAATGCAAATTATTTTGACTACTAGTGTCTTCCTATCAAATAAAATTTATCTTATAAAATTCTTGAGTCATTTTTAACATTTTGAAGTTATTTTGTCAAATGGGCAGTTAATGTCTCTTTAAGAACAGCTACTTGGCAGAGGGGCACATGTCCAGAATGTGCTTGGTCTAAAGAAAAGTATATGATTATTTCTTTTTCTTTTTTTTTTTTTTGTCTTTTTTCGTGTCCGGCAACGGATCGCAACCCTCAGTGTCGCGCCCGGACCGGACCGGGACCGGCAACGGGATCGCAACCCTCGGTGTTGCTCCCGCACCTCGCTCAGCCAGTGAGCGGGAACCGGTCTGTATGTGGGATCCGAACCCTCGGCGGGAGCACCACCGTGCTCCCAAGCAGCGCACTTTCCAGTCCAAGACTGACATTAAGAAGGACAATTATCAGACTCATTGACATAACTTCCTGGGAGCAACCATTATAGACCAAATACTGTGTTGGTTGTATGAGCCATTGGCTTGGTATTGTTTGGCATTTCTTCTAAGCTCTTCTTCTAGAATCTGTGAATAAAAAGCAGTTCTTTCTTTTTTTTCAGTTACTATTAATAGTCAGATATAACTTTTAGCTGTGGAAATATCCATTTTGTTTGAGGTCAGGGACTTAATACTCAAAATTCTGGTTCACCTGCCCTTTATTCTGAAATAGTGATTAGTTTTTTTTCTCTGAAGTAAATATCCCAGAATTACAATAGGCACCCAACTAATGGAAGCCGTGTGATTACTGAAAGAAATAGGCTGAAAGAGAAATTATACAAGGACAGAAACACAACATTCACTCTCTCCTTTCAGTATGCAAACAGGTAGATTAAGACCACCATGACTGTCCTACTGTGTCCTCTAGTGCACCCGGCAGTGCATCTCTGGAACCACGAAAGAGTTCATCTACAGTAGTAACCTCACATCTTTGAATCATGACCTGTACCACTTACTGACCTTGCTCCCACCATCCCTCGGCACCCAAGCCTTATGAGTGAGCACCCCTTCTTTCAGTAGTCACTACAGGCCACCTAACCCTGACTTCCTATTTGGCCGTAGATCTCTACAGCAGGGTGCTAAACTTCTGCCACCCTTCCTGTGGGAAGAAGAGGTGCTTTATTTTTCACCCAGGGCCCTGCATGGGCTATGACTGGGCATATGCAGAAATAATATAGTGTTTATTAAATGCTTAATATGAGCCACACACTGTTCTCAGTACTCTATACTCATTATTTGTTCAATATTCTTCTCCACCTTATGCAATAATTATTCTTTTCTCATTTTACAGATGAGAAAACAAGGTACAGAGAGATTTAGTAATGTGCCCACACATATAAACCTAGAATAGTACAGCAAGACCATCTGATTCTGCGCTTTTGACCAATAGACCATACTAAAGTATGAATGGGTTCCACATGACTAGATTTTCCAAAGTGATCTGTTGTAGTCAAAATATGATGTGTCTTCACATCTATTAATTTTCTTTTCAAATAATTTATTCAAAAACTGACTGTTGAATACTAT